TTTTTAATAAATCTGCAAAAATGTCAACAATTCTGTGTTTTTCTGTCAATATGAGGTGCTGTGTGTACATTAATGAGGAAAAAAAAATAACTTAAATGATTTTAGCAAATGGCTGCAATATAACAAAGATTGAAAAATTTATGGAGGTCTGAATACTTTCCCACTGTATATATTAGTGAACATTTTAAAATCACAGAGCTCAACCTTAGTTTTGGGTGCGTAGATCAATGAGTAACATCTTTTAAATTGTAATAATATTTCACAATATTATTGTTTTTAATATATTTTTGATCATAATACATATTAGTGAAAATTTTTAAATCACAGAGCTCAACCTTAGTTTTGGGTGCGTAGATCAATGAGTAACATCACAATGAGATAAAAGATCATAAGATATATTTGAAAATAAGAGACTTCTTTGAAAAATATTACAAAATTTTAAAGGCTCCAAATAGTAGTGTATAGGAATACACCATTAGAAAATAATTAATAAAATATTAATATATTATTATATAATAACAATTACAATAATGTTCATATTATTATTAACCTTATTATTATTATTATTATTATTGTGTGACGTTTGAAATCTGTATGACTCAGAATGACTTGGAAGTCTGTTCCTCAGATAAAGCAATTAGTTGTCTTCAGAATACAATCCACAAGTCATGAACTACTTTTATGGTACTTTTTGACCTGTTTAAGGCTTGAAAACCCACTATTTCATATGAAAAAAGAGCAGCGTGAACATTCTTCAAAAGATCTCCTTTTGTGTTTCACATCCTACAGAAAGTCAAGTTTGAAATGACATGAGGGGGAATAAATGATGACAAATGATTTTTTTTGGGTGAACTATAAGCAGCTTTTGCAACTATAATCAATGTTCCTCTGTTCTTTGCTCATCCAAACTTCTATCCAATGTGATTAGGGTTTTTGTTGATTTAGGAAGAGCACTGGTTTCAGTGATTCTCGACTGTAGGTGTTGAATAAGTATTCTCTCACTTTTTCATTTTGCCTTCAATCCCTCCCTTTCTCACTCCTTTCGATTGCCTTTTCTACTCCTCTCACTAGAAGACCTGAACGACTCTTCCTCCTCTCACTGATTGCGTAATCTACACTATTCAAATATGAAAATGACTTCCACTCTGCATGTGTGAGGATCTGCATTGCTGCCTGTGGTTCCTGTGGTACAGTGGTTACTGTTATATGACAAGGAAAAAGTCACACATACTTTGTCTCACTAAAGGAATAGGTCACTCAAAAATGAAAATTTGCTGAAAATGTATTTATCCATAGGCCATCCAACATAAAGATGTTTTTTTT